TTCCACCGCTCTTTTTCTATATTTCTATGAAGCCACCTGAGGGCATCTTCTCACAGCTACCCCTCAGGTCTCTTGTCTCTGGGATACCTGAGAGGAGCTATAGGAGCTTCATTGCCCTATTGCCAGGGTTTGTGTGTGAGCAGGGGGTAGGAATATACCGCTAATGATAGCATTTCCTCCATCAGCATCCTCATTATGGCACTATTCCTTGTCCAGCTCAAGCTCCTGGTTGGTAGCAACAGCAAAACTTCTCTCTTTAACCTAGTTTGACAAGTGCCACCAAGCCTGAACCCTGAGACTGCCATGCTTCTTCTCACCAGTGGGTTTCTGGGGCATGTTACCAACCAGTGATCTTTGTCACGAGCCTTAGGATTTTGTTTTTTTTCTTGACATCTCTGCATCTGGAGTCCTGGGATGAGCAGAGATGCTCAGCTTTTGGTTGCAAAACAGCAAATTTCTTGCCCTTAGAGTTGGGGAGATAAAATCGACAGAAGTGGAGGCTGCAAGGGCTCCAAAGCTAGGCAGCAAATAAAAAAATATATCATTATATATAATTATATCATAGATAATTTTGGAAAATCTCATGCTTTGTAGGGTGAATCTTATGTTTCTAGAGGAATTGACTCCTGACTTCGGAGCACTAACAGTTGGAAATATTGTGATTTTGTGTTTATAGTGGACTTCAGTTGTTCTAGAAAGTTTACTGATTTTAATGGAGATTGAAAAACAGGGGATAAGATAACCTCACTGCTTCATGGTGCTGCTTGAAAAGGCTGTAAAAAGGCTTTCTCCCTATAAAATCTGTCAGTTTTGAGAATAGAGAATCCTATTGCATCTCTATGCAATGTCATTGGTTTCATCCCTAGGAAATTCGATGGGAGTCAGGTATAGTTTTGCTTTGTGCTCAAAGCAGTAGGAACCGGCAATGAATTGATATATCTTTTAAAATGAAACTTCTCGTCTCAGTGTTATCTCCTCTTCCGTTGTTTAAATAATGTTTCAGGTTTTGTGACCCGACAGGAGTCGGGATACACTTTGCATGAGGTTAGAAATACAGGATAAGAATGTGTGTGACAGCTTTGGGGTTGAGTAATGTTTACCCAGTTCGTGGCTGAGTCGCTCACTTACCCTGGCAAATGTCCACCTGCCAAAGGACATTCTTTCATTATCAGGGATGAGAGGGTTTGCTGGGAAATGACCGGGAGCCAGAGATCATGGGAGGATTGCTAACTGTTCGACATGTTTATCCAGCTGATGGTGAAAAGGAGAAAGCCTTTTCCATGGTTGTCCTATGGTTAGTTTGTTGTGCAGTGGCATGGATAGTCATACAACGGACTCTCCCTGCATTTCAGGGGTAGGTGGGTGTGCTTATCAGTTCCTCACTTAGGAAGCCTGCAGGTAGAAATTGCCCGGTGAAATCCTTAGACTGCATTATAATTCACTGTCTGTCTTTTACCACTACAGAATCATGGATTTGAAAGTCAAAAGGGACCATTAATGATCATCCCGTCCTTACAAGGTTACTCAGCAAAACTTTCACCTGGTCACTTGGGACTGAGCAAACCCTTGAGCCATCCTCTCCTCGGGTGAAACAAGGACCCGGGTTGTCCTTTTTAAAGGACATCTTTGTTGTCATTTTTAAGGAATCTTGTGCCAAAACACAAGATTCCTTCAAAATGAAGAATAGGAGGTTACTGAGGGTCACGGGACTGGGGGATAAGTGGTGTAGGCAGAAGGACGTAGGATGTTTGGGGATGAAAAACGTTATCAGAAGGTTGTGCAGTGTATCAAGGAGCTGGTGGCTTCAGTTGAGTTTCTCAAAGGATGGGATCCTAGATAGAAGATGGCATTAGTTAGTAATGTTATTGCTAGTCCCAGCTGATAGGCTAAGAATGGGAAGGGGGCATGGAGACGAAACCCCATTTTGAAGTGTTTCTCAACCAGGCCAAGAGCCAGGCAGAATGATGTAGCAGCGGCATGTCTGCTGTCCATGTTGTGTTGGGTCTGTGAAACACTAGAGGATTTCAGGGTCCTGGGCTCTTAGCCCTGCTCCTTTCAAAGGCAGCCACTTCGATCTACCAGAAAAGTTAGTTAAACCTGACCGGTGTACGCGGTGCTTGGCTTCTTATAATAAATGGCTTTTAGGCCACATTTGTCAAGGCAGCCTCGTAAAAAAGAAGCTTTTGTTTCCAGTGGGCTCCCTCAGTTAATTATTTGTGATCTATAGATGCCTTCCCATGATACATGGCAGATCGTATAGTTATCAACGCGGGGCTTTTTCAGCCAAACTAAGTAAATTTATATTGAAGAGTGGTGGTCTCTCCGGACTGGGTCATTGGTTCCATTAGACTTTAAGGGCCTTATGTTTGGGACTGTCATTCTTTCACGTCCCTGTAACGATCTGTTAATTTTAAGCATCTCGGGACTGAGTTGAGAGTAAAACACAATTCGTAACGCAGTTCAAAGAGTCCTCGATGGCTGGATGTTGCGAGGAACCAAGGAGCTTTATGAAGTTGTAGCTTATGTGAGTTGGGCCCGGGAGGAAGGTCTCCTGCTTGGTTGTAATGGGAAGACTGTCCATGTCACATAAACCCAAATGATTGTATTTGACAAGCTGTCCCAGCAGAGAGCTCTGGATGGCAGGCTAAAGGGCATGGGCAAGTGAGTCCTCTGACCATGTAATTGGCTCCAAAATGAGGGACCCATGCCACTCTGCAGCTTCTAATTAAGTCATCTGTGCTCCTAATAGGCAGGAGATTTGGCTGCAGAGATCTTGCATCAAAATCAGGGCCAGTGAGACCAAGAGCTGAACTGACATAAGGTGTGGACAGATGAAATGGCCGTACTGAATTAAGGGGGGAAAGGGAGTGTCTTAATATGTGTCAGCTGATGGTAACTATTTTGGGTGTCTTCTCCACCCTGCACTTAGTGGAATATAGGGCAGAGCAATTGAGCTGTGAATGAACTGCCGAAGTATTGTGGTTTACCTTCCACTTACTGCTGGGCAGAAAAGATGCATGAAGACACAGTGGATGAGATCAGGTTTAATCTGGCCTCTCCTGCCCAGGGAGATTGTCCCACCATGGCAAGGTGGGTCAGGGGCAGCATGTGGTGGTTGAATCTTGCACTGCTGCTGGCCATGGTGTAGATAAAGAGAAGCTGTTGCTCCACTGCCTGGCACTTCTGACCAGTTCTGCAATCAAAAATGTTTCTCATGACCCCAGATCTCTGGGCCTGGTGGAGTCTGGGAAGCCAACCCTTGCATCTTTTCTTGTGCTGTTCCCCCGTGCTGTCCTCACATCTGCCATCAGAGGTAGTCACAGTTGTTATTCAAGGATGACATAGTTTTGCGGCATGCCTCCCTGCAAGTCCTTGACTTGCTTTGGCCTCTTCTGTGGGGCTTGTCTTTTTTTGCTAGCCTCTTGGGGACATATTGTTGACTGACACAGTAACATAAATGCTGAGGCCTTGGACTCCATGGTGCATGCCAGCCTGTCAGCACGCATTGTGTACTTTCCCTCTCGGTGGTTTTCTAGCTTTTACTGGTTCAGGGAGAGGGAGAGAGATGGTTGTAAACACGCCGTGGAAAGGTGGAGCTTGCACAAAAGGTCTCCATCAAGAGTTTTACAACTCTCAACCTCCCCTTAGCCCGGCAGCAAATATGTGTTGCATGAAGTACAATCAGACAGGGATATTCTTGACTCTTTTGTTCTCTCTGTCACTGATCCAGTGCAGCACACAGTATAGCGAGCAAGAGTACTGGGGGGGTAATCTGATGCAATACGGGCAATGTTTATTTAAAAAATAAGAGGCGTGTGTTTGCGTCTACCTTTTGTTGGCATCTTTGCGCGTGCCAGAGTTGCATGCATGCGTGCAAATAGCATGCATGAATTATGGGCAGCCAGCCATCCAACTGTCTGCCTGATGCATTTCAAGGAGTGTGAAAACAATCATTGCCAGTGTGGTTAAGGCCGGGCTGAGGGCACGTTGTCCCGTAACTCTGGAAACTGGAGTTATACAAGGCCAGGTGGAAACCTTCCACGAGTCTGGCTTGGAAAGCCACATATCACAGGATTGTGCGTAATGCAGCACCCCCTGCCCCCAGCCTTGCTCCCAGAGCTCAGACTTCAGTGCTGTTATAAAATACCATAATTGTTTGCTTTGGGTGGGTAACCATATGCAAATAAACAGCCTTGCCTTCAGTGCCCCCCATCTTCAGTGCCATCAGAATGAGGAGATATGTCCAGTTATAACACCAAGTAGGTTGAACTTGTCAAAGCCAAGGCTGGACTCGATGGGGCGGCTGGACTCAATGATCTCCTGAGGTCCCTTCCAGCCCTAATGTCTATGAAAGAGTTAGCAGGAGTTACAACAGAGTCTTTCTCAGCCCCAGGCTCTGAGCAATACAGAAAATGCAGCTGAGCCGAACTAAGCACCGTGACTGCAAGCTCTTTTCCCCGTGGCCTTGCTCCCGTTGCTTTCATTAGTGATTAGAGAGAAGGACCAAACCTCAGCTTTCCCTCCATCCCAACCAGGATGGATTCGAGTAGAGTGGGACCTAGATACCCCATCTCGTGACTCATGAGGGAGATGCATACCATGGTCCTGCCAGTTAGGAGATAAAGGAGGTTACACGTAGCCCTAAACCAGACCTCTGCCTCCAAAGAGCTCCTCTTCAGCAGGTTGGGCATGTTCAGCATCTCTGACTCCATCTCTTGGTGCATTTCAGAGCAGGAACCAAAGCAGAGCAATAAGATAGCAAATTATCCTGGCTCTCGGGGTATCTGCATCCCTTGGCAGCGATGCATCGGAAGAGTCTTCCCCCCGGCGTCTTAAAGGAAGGGTTTATTCTTAAATTAAAGAAGCTACGAAAACATCCCTTTCTTCTCCGCCCACAAGATGATGGGGGTTTTTTTGGTGCCTAGAATAAAAATGCTTTATGACCATGTCACGGATGGGGGTTGTTAATACACTGTGCTTGGCCTTAATTGTTTTTGCAGGAGTCCGATACAACCAGCAGGGGAGCAATGAGGTCACTTCCTCCTCGACAATCAGTCACCATGGGAACAGTGCCATGGTGACCACCAGCCAGTCTGTCCTCCAGCAGGTTTCTCCAGCAGGCTTGGACCCAGGCCACAATTTACTCTCGCCCGATGGTAAAATGGTGAGTACACCTGGCCTATTGTCGCTCCACCGCTGATAAGATAAGAGGGCCCAGCAGGCAAAACAAACACGAGTTTTTTGAGTTCCTAGCACAAGGCCCCAGCTGAACAATGAGGCATTGTAGGGTTGGTGGGTTAAAAAAAAAAAAAAATCTGGGCTGCCGTGAGTCAAAGGCAGGGCTGTGACCCCCGCTTTCCCCGGCAGGTCGTGCTGAACCCGGCCAATAAATCTGACACAGGCCCGGTCTTATTTTATTGATTGCATGCCTTGTAAAATATAACGCAGTGGGTGGATCACTGTTTGTTTTTCGCTGCCGATGACATGCGTGCTGATAAAATGCTCATTCATTATTTTTTTTCCCTTTCTTTCTTAAGCCCTCCAAAGTTTTAGGTTTCACGAGGGAAGCAGTTTCTGTGCAAGCAAGCCCCTTTCCCCCCTCTCTCCCTCTGTCTCAAACTTTCTCTTCTCTCCCATCTAATGTATACCCAACTAACACATATGCGCATGTGTATTTTCCTCTGTGATCTACAGGGCACTATGAGGCTGTAGCCCCAGCAAGGCAACTTTGCCTCGGGTATCCTTCGTCTAATGCTCATATGTACACACACATTATTTGTTATAAATACGCCCCGTTCATTTATACAAGTGAAGACAATGAGACAAGCTGCAGGTACTTCCCCAACTAGAGCCGTGAAAGAAGCTGCATGGTCACGATGATAAATGGCGCAAACAATTTGTATCCAAATTTGTAATTCCTTCTTAGATCAGCGTCTTCAGATCTGGATGTTGGAGTTGGCCCCTTGCAAAGTTAGAGGGTCACGTGCAAAGTAGAGAGCGAGGCTGAGATTTGATGTACTTCCAAAAATTTGGGGACATTAATTCACAAGCATTTTACTAGTAATTATCCAAATTACCCAGAGGAAGAAGGCGACACTGTGAGAAGATTTAAAAAAATAAAAAAAGCAAATCAATATAAATGGCCAGGAGTATCTGCATCCATGCCATAAAACGGGCAGGGCAAGGTGTTAGTCGTTCCTTTGAGAAGACGGGAAAGCATCTTAGCTCAAACATTGCGGCATTGCTGTTGTAAGATGTCACATCTTGGTAGCTGTGTTGACAGATCAGTTTGTTGTTTTGACATCCTGGGAGCTTTATTCGCTACTGAAAGTGAAAGTCGAATCCAGCCCTGCACACTTGAGATGAACGAATCCCAGTGGTTTTAGCTGTTTTCAGTTTTATTTTCAGAAGCTCCCAATTTCCCTGCATTCCAGTCAACCTGGTTAATTCCCTGTTTTTCCTTTTGCTCTGTGATCCTGATGGTTTTTGGTCAAAAGGGTCCATCTTCCAGCCAGAGAGAGTAGGACATAATTCCCTTTAGAAGCTGGTAGCTCCTTTCTGGACCTGGCTGGATGACATTAAGACGATGCAGTCTAAGATGCATCGTTCCCTCTCCACCCCAGGACTCCTCCTCTGCTGCAGTGCTGAACTCCTGAAACGATGTTAAGTATGGATTTCGTTGTATCACTACCATGCTTTGGGGTCTCCATGGTATATTATGCATTGCACCAACAGAAGATGGCCCTTCCTTCAAGGCCATATGAGACAAGCCTACAAGTGGATGCAGGCCAGCAACGAGCTGTTGGTCAGTCTGATCAACTGTCATCAGACATAAGCTTCAAGGCAATAAGGGGGTTTAGTTAGAGGAGGATGTTGAGATGGCTTTTTCCTTGGAGCAAGTTCCTCCCAGGAGTGAGGAGCAAGCATGGGAAGAAAGCCTCAAGATGCTTGGTTGAAAGCAGAAATGGAACCAACTTAGGTAGCGGTAGGAGTGTGTACAGTGCTAAAAGCTTTTGCCCACCTGTCCATTAGTGCTCAACCAGCCCCACCAAAGGTACAATGCCCAGCACCATCTCCAATTTAATTCCCCAATTAACATGTAGCTGTTACCTTTTCCGGCTTATCGCTCATCACTTCAGCAGAGCTAGCCAGCGCTTGCAAGCCATTTCATAAAAATATACTGTAGGCTGTGGTTTCTAGTCAGCAAACATGTACTTTTATTATCCCAGATCAAACCAAGAACAGCCAAGAAGATCATTACCCTTTAATGGTTTTTTATTCCTCTCCAAGATGCATGTTATTAAGCCTGTCAGTACTTCAGGCTTGTCACTGTTTTATGATCCTAGATTGCCTTTAACCATGGCAGTACTGGAGAACTCGCTGGGGACTGGTTTTTTATGATGTGGTTTGAATTCTTTGCTGGTCACGTGATCTCTTGCTCCCTTCATTTAGTTCAAGTTTTTTTGGTTCTAATCTCATCTTGAAAGTAGTCCAAGCTACAAAGTGAGCAGTGCAGGGTCCCAGGGTGGCTTGTTTGACTTGCACACCTGGGGCGGTATAATCTGGCCTTGAGGAAACTTTGAAAGTGGAAAATACTGGATAAGGAAATATGACTCACGCTCCTGAGTGATTTGTTTGTTTCGGTTACAACCGGGCCTATCTTGCACCCACGTGTGCAAAATAAACAGGCCGGTTGGGACCAGCGTCTAACAGTTTAACACCTGGCACCCGACCGGGTCCTTTTAAATGGGAAGGAAGACACCGAAACCCAAGTGGCTGAAGCCTCGAAGCTGAGCACCTTATGCTCCCATGAATGTTGGGACTGTTCAGTGCTGATAATTGCACCAGTTTTAATGAAGGCTCTCGGTCTGCTTGTGGTGGGGACCCCAGTTAAGAGGCACTGGCGAAAACTCCACATTTTCAACCAAGACAAGCTCCCATGTGTTCTGGTACTGTGATAGCAAGTCTGCGTGCATCTCGCTTTAAGTATGGGAGGAGTCTGGCTAAGGTCCGAAGAACTATTCATGCACTTAAAGTTAGGCAGGCGTTTATCTGAGAGCTTTGCTGAATTCGGGCATAAGTGATCAAAGGCCCTTAGCTAATGTTCCTAGAACAATTAGCCTGTTCCCATACTGCCTCCTGCAATGGTTCAAAAATCACCAGTCCAGCCCTGAACTGTCCTAAAAATTGGCTTAGAAATCATCATAAAATGTTGAAAAGTGCATTTCAGATGCTTTTACTTTCATTTCTTTAGCCTTTTCAAATTCATATTTTCCACCTTTCTTCTGTAATTCTGAGGACTGGACATTTTTGCTTTTTTAAAATGATGCTGCAAATCTCTCGCCCTCATGTGATTCCAGGAGCTGGAGCTTTAAGCACAACACCTCAGCTATTGGGAAGAGTTAAGATCCCAGATTTGGAGCTGGCATTTAATTTGCAGTCATTGCAGTTTTTATTTATTATTTGGATTTGCCTAGCATCTAGGAAGCCGTAGCCCTGGACCCAGAGCCCCATGCTACAAGCACAGAATAAAAAAGTGGCTCCCTGCTGCAGGTAGCCCACAGTCCGATTGAATTTTGGATTCCCTCACACTTTGTCACTAGTCACTGGGTAATTTCCCTTCTCACCCTTTATTTCTCTCTCTCTTCTGGGGAAGGTTTCACCACTGAACCAATTAAGTCACAGATGGAGGGAGCAGTTGCTGTCTAGACAGCCTTAAATTTGTAGCGATTATTTTGTTGTTCAGCACATGTCTCTGATGCTTGTTGCCCTTCCTCTATCTTGACAGATCTCTGTGTCGGGAGGCGGGCTGCCTCCTGTGAGCACCCTGACCAACATCCACGGCCTGTCCCATCACAACCCACAGCAGTCCCAGAACCTCATCATGACGCCACTCTCGGGAGTTATGGCCATTGCACAAAGTAAGTGCTCTGCCCCCTGCACTTCAGGTGTGCTTTTGTCAAAGGGACTCTGTCTCCCTGAACCTGGTTGGTTTAGAAGTACAGGAAACCCTTGCTATTTGCGGGTTCGGCATTTGCGGTTTCAGATGTTCGCAAATGCCAAACCTGCATCTTAAATACACTTTAAACACTTACTGGAGCACCTCAGGAGCTCCGCACTTATGTTCGTGAATGCAGTGCCCTATTCGCGGATTTTGCCATTCGCGGGGTATACGAGAATGTATCCCCCACGAATGGCGAGAGTTGCCTACACCATATTTTCTCACGTACAACACACCCCATACATAATAGGCACCTTGTTTTGAAAGGTAAAAAAAAAAATTTCCACTGTTATGGCTGCATAGAGCAAGGACTAATCTTCAATTGACTTTGCTACTTAACTAAAGCTGAAACTCTAGCTGTTGCTGAAGCCTGGTCTCTCCATGGATGCATCTGTAATTCTGAAAGGAGCTAAAGAGTCTCCAAGTCTGTGAAAAAGGGGAGAGACCAGAAGCAGCTAGCAGACAGCAAAACTGCCCTAAGAAAGGTTATTTTGCTTAGTTGAACATCCAGATCATTAAAAGGGAGAGAGAATTGTTAACACTGCTAGAGTACAGAACAAGCCATTAAGTCAATTGGCTCCCTCAGCTGCCTGAATAGTAATGCAGCTGCTGCTGCACTGTGGAGCAGTGTCAAGGCAGGGTGCTTGTATCCCAGTTAGAAAATCAGCTTTCCTGCTTCATACATGCATCCTGAATGGCGGGGGGGGCTGTTTTTTTTCTGTTGGGGGGGAATGGTGCAAGTTGTGTGTGAGAAGATATGGTAACTTCACTGGGCAGAAGTAAACCCCCGCTCCCTATTTTCCTGCAGACCCAACTGGATAAAATGACTTATTTCACTTCCAGAACTGACCATTGTAACTGTGTGGCCTTTTCCCACCAGGGTCAGAAGGAAGTGAAGTGGTTGCACTGGCCCATGGTTGAAGGGAAACCATTTGATTTTTCTTCTTCTAGCATCTATTGTGTGCTCTGGTGTGGTACGGAGGGAAATGGAGACACCCACTTGGGTACCTCTAGCTGCAGGATGGTGTTCTCCTCTGTTTTCGTTCTCCTGGAGCAGCGCCTCTGAGTGTGCTAGCACTGACGTCTGTGCTCACTGTCCTGTTCTGTCTCCTGGCAGGTCTGAACACCTCCCAAGCGCAGAGCGTACCTGTCATCAACAGTGTTGCTGGAAGTCTGGCAGCTTTGCAGCCAGTCCAGTTTTCCCAGCAGCTGCACAGTCCACATCAGCAGCCTCTCATGCAACAGTCTCCCAGTCATATGACGCAGCAGCCTTTTATGGCCACGGTGACTCAGCTACAGAACTCACACAGTAAGGATCTTGTCAGGTATTTGTTGAGGGACCCAATGAAGTGCCTGTGATTGTAAAGAGTCCAAAATACTTTTGAATGCAGTTTGCTTGCTCCCTCCCCACTCCCCTGCCATGCACCCAATTGGGTCCTCACTCCATCCATGCTGCAGTTGAAAGGGGTGACTGTGGGTCTTACAGTGGCCACCCAGTACCCACAGCAGTTCATTTTGGGGTGCAGAACCTGCCTGGCACTGTACTTGGGCAATGAGCTTCCCCCAAGCTCCATGCTATTGTGACTATATGGAGCTTATATCTAGCTTGGGTGCATTTACATGAGCTTCAGTCACAGCTGTGGGATGCAGAGTAGATTCACCCTATGAAAATTCAAGGAGGGAAAGCAGGAGAGGAACCTCTTCCCTGTGAAATGGGTTTTCTTCTGTATACCCCTTCCAGCAGATATGGAGAGGGGAGGAAACTTGGCCGCTGTAACCCTAGCACAGTGGATGCTATCCATTCTCACTTGGCTATAATTCTTCCTTCCTCACAACTGCTTCTGCTCTTCTCTCCACTTGGACCTCCTCTTTCTCTACAGAATTACTCCTTCATCCCTTGTCTCTAAGTCCGAGGGCCAAATTCTTCTCTTGGTCACAGGAGTAAAGCTAGAATAACATGAGTGAATTTACTCTGGGGCAGGATGGAATTTGTTCCAGGAAGCTCTGTTTGCATCTCAAGCCTGCCTGTGCCTCTGCCCAGGAAAGGCTGGACTCTTCTTTAAGCACAGTTAATAGTAAAACCATTTCAAGGTGCACTGAACATCTCAGGGTTATTGGGGTAGGGGGCAGGCAGGGGATGGAAAATTGGTTTAAGCAGGTTAAAGAACTCTGTGAACTTCCAGGAACCGGAGAGAAAATAAAGACAGATCTAAGGAACAAAGGTGTTGACCGGGGGTTTCAACTGCAGTGACAAAAAGTCAACAGGAGTTACTAAGTCTCCTTGGCAGTCCTCACCATTTACTTTTACACAAACCTTGCACAGAGGGAAAAGAGGCCTGGGTTTGAAATAATCAATGGGAGAGGATGAATTAATCTTCTGCAAATCAGAAGATTTGACTGCTTTAGGTATTTTCTTCAGCTGTGACTTCCATGTGCTACAGCTCTGGAAAGAGTGATTGGCAGGTTGTAGCTGATTCATTTATAGTCTTGCAGTCAACCTGTCCTTATATTTTGTTAACTAACTTAAATCTTTGGTTGAAGTAAGAAATCTTTACTGCCTCCATTCACCAAGGGCTCAGTGTCACGGCAGTTGCATAGTGCTGGGGCTTGAAGTCTGTCTGGAGGGTCAGGCCCAGAGAGATGAATGGACCCAAACTCCAATTCCCAACACCACTGTGGTGTTTTGCAAGGAAATCTATCAGGTTTAGGGCAGTCTGTTTTTGATGAAAGATTTTTTTTTCTGGATAAAAGGCATGTTTGGCAATAGCTATCAGTCAAATCACACAGTTTTCCATCAAACTGTTTTCAGCCAGCCCAACCAAGCACCAGCAAGTTGGAAACGTTTGGGAAAAGGAGATGTAGATACGATGTCCCTTCAGATTTTTGAGCTGGCCCAGGAGCTTGCTAGAGGCATTCCCTTTGCTTTCCTTAACTGTTACCAGTCCCCATCGGTTAAGGAAGTGAAACTCCCATGGGCTTCACCTTTGCCTGCTGGATCTGACCCTGCCTTTGGTGATCTTGTCCATCATACCTGCCTCCTTTCCTGCATGTGCCTCTGCTGCTCAGCAGTGGGGTGGACTCTGCAGGGTTCGAAGGAGGATGCAGAGGGTTCCTTTGGTTTTAAAAGTGCGCCGGTGCTTCTCCTTTGTCTGCTTTGTTCAATGACTGTAGCTGCTCATGTGATGACTGTCTATCTCCTTCATTTTTGTAGTGTATGCACACAAGCAGGAGCCTCCCCAGTATTCCCACACTTCCCGGTTTCCATCAGCTATGGTGGTCACAGATACCAGCAGCATCAGCACATTAACCAATATGTCTTCCAGTAAACAGGTAACAGCACATGTGTTGATCATGTCATCAGTCTGCACTAATCATATGAGTGTTGCTCTCTGCTTGTGTCAGAACAGCAGAGAGAGAATCTGCCCATAGAGTGGACAAGAAAGCTGTGTTTCTCAGTAAATTATGGTTTGCTATAAAAGGAACGACTGTTTGCACAATGCACTGTTTATAGCTGTTATTTCAGGTTCGTGCATGGTACGCAGGAGATGGGCTAAAACCACAGGGTGACATTCTCATTGCATGGATGTCTATGGCGAAGTGCCCTTTGAAACCACAAGGACCAGGATTTTGCCTTGAATCATTTATCTGCCCAACCCCATACTTCGGGGTGGAGAAAGATAAAGCTGGAGCCAAGCCAGCTCAGCTCCTGTGTCTGCTCAGCCCATAACTCACTGATTCAAAGCCAAATAACAACCCCAGTCTTTTCAGACCATCCCCTTTGCCCCTGTGGTTATAAATGGGTTCTGCTGCATGTGTTGCAATGCTTTTTCCCCATCTGCACACAACAAGATTCAGTCGTGAACAGAAAAGTCACGGGTTGCAAAAGAAAGCCAGGTGGGCTTCCTTTACTGTGAATGGTTCTGGGGGAGTTCTCTCAGCGGGTATGTCAACTGCTGCCACTGCTAATGGTTGTTGAGCGCGTGCATTTGGGCAGTGAATAGATCCCCCCATTCGTTTATGCTGATCAGTGCCACCTTGCATTTCTGCTTGCTCAGTATTTGATGTCCAGGACTAAATACCAGTGTAGCATAGAAGCAGTAGAAGGTAGATGCCCTATTGGAACTAGATTGGTGGTTAGGGTTGTAATATAATAGAGAGATATCTACGTCATTTCTCATATAAACTGGCTCCAAATGATTGGGGTCTGGGGTATATGACCCCATGTCACAGCAGAGTCGCATTGACAGAACAACGTAGGGGAAAGCTTGTGCTGGTGATTCACTCCTCCATGTATACGTAAGGACTTGGGTCTCCAGAGCTGTAAATCCAGCCCCTGTCGCCTGTGGCAATTCCGTTTTTTTCCTTTAAAAAAAACCTGACCCCATGGGTGACTAGCATGAAGATGACTTGAGTAATCGTCCCATTCCCGTGGCTAATTGTGACTTTTTTAGGAACGTGCAGCACTTATGATGCCTTTGTGATCATTGCAGCAAAGTCCAGGCTGGCATAACTTTATTGAAGTTGATTTAGCTTCCTAGAAACAAATGAACTTTTCCCTGACTCTGTTAATAGAGACCATTTCTAAATGCAGGTGAGAGATTCTAATCTCAGTAAATCGGGGCACATTTAGAGTCACTGTTAAATCCAGACACACTACTCTAAAAGTGCAGGAGTGTAGAAGAGATCAGGCTTTGAAGCCAGATCCTGATCTGATGTAAACCACCACAGCTCCTTGGAAATCCTTGCGTGGGTCTACAGCTGATCAAACGCACCTCGCTTCATTGAGGTTAATGGATGAGACTCTGGGCCTCCAACCCCCCAATTTTTTAAGATGTATACTTATATCAGGCCCTATGTTGTTAGTACCCAACTCAGACAATAGCCCCTTTTTTAAAAAGCCAGGTCTGGGGACTGTGGGAAATATGTGGCCCTTATCGATTGCTAGATAAATAGGAGACAACCTTGAACTTGCATTCAGCTAAACCTTCTTGCCAATTGCTGACAGTGGGAAGGAGAAAAATCTCGGCAGCAAACATAAAGCAAATAATGCTTGGAATTGCTGCGCAGCTTTGTTTTCATAGATGCCCTTAAGTTACACTGCAAGGATGGTGCAGAGACGACTCTATTCATTCCAGGGGAAAAATGGAACTGTGTAAGTCCGAGTACAGTGGGCTACATCCCGTTGCAAATCAGCAGAATCAGTGATGAGCAGAGCAGATTCTCATTGGGTTGATGGAAATCTGCATAGCTGCATTGATTTGACCAGATATTCATCCCATAGAGCTTCACTGGAGTCCACAGGTCAAATTCCTAGCGGGTCCACGCTGGCATAGTTGCATGGAAGTCCATAAAGACTCACCAAAGCCCAATCCCTCTGCTGGTGTGGGACCCAGTGCAAACCTTTTCTCTCACAAAATGGAAGCTTAAACAGAACTGCACCTGGACATGGGTCCCAAAGCCCTTGAGTCTGAACAGTCCAATTCTGGCAAGCAAACAAGTCAGTCTACAGTCAGCTCACCTCCCCCAAGAGCTTTCCAGGAACAGTT